TATATATTTTATATATATATATATATATATATATATATATATATTATATATATATATATATATATATATATAAATTGTGCCCACGAACAAGTGGTATTGATCAATAACAACTCTGCGACTAGCCAAGGACTCGAATCATGCACGGGACCAAACAATCCGTGGGTAAAGGCGTCATTAGTTTTCGCCTACCATTAGGCAGGCCAAGCAGCATGGGTTCGAGTCCTTGGCTAGTCGCAGTTGTTGTTATTGATCAATACCACTGTTCGTGGGCACAATAATATATATATATATATATATATATATATAATATATATTATATATATATATATCAACACTGTAACTAGCTGGGGGATCGAACCCGTGTTGTTTTAGCTCGCCTCATGGCGATCGAAAATTCCACGATGATCTAACCCACGGGACCATACAATCCTACAAAAATCACACGATGGTGTGGGTACCTCAAAGCTAATTTCATTCTAGTCCCCGTTTGGTGTACTAGCCTCCACAAGCAGTATATATCGTATTGTAACCACGAACGACTGGTTTTTAATCAATAACAATATCGTAGGGGTTCTTAAATGGAGATATTGAGGGTTGAAGGTAGACACACTTGTTGGATGGTAACGATATATTGTCAGACTGTGATGATGAGGAATGGAGCCCAGCCTTGCTGTGTTCTTGTCTGGATGGTCTGCCACCGAGTGAGAGGGAGGCAGAGGTACGAGCCTACACATGCGCATCCCGTGACGTCACACAAAGTCACAGGCCTACAAGGGATCTCCCATCTAAAGCACATGGACGATACTAATATGCTATGCTATATAATACAGGGATCAGCAACTATGCTGACAGCTCGGTCATGTTACGTATGTCGTCTTCGACATACACTACTATCTATAGGCTGAACAGGCAGGCGGTTCTGGGCTGATTCTATACAATAACAAATTCATATATAACTTAGAACTAATGGATGGTATCATAATGGATGTTACATGAGTTTTATGTAATGAGTTACAAACTATAAGAACAAATCATTGTACAATATGGATGGAATTGATCGATCGATCTGTATTCAAGCACTCTACGGATTCTGAGGAAGAATAAATATATATATACGAGGTGAAATTAACAGCAAAGGCATCTGGTGCACTCAGACTATTACTGCCAAATTCTCAGAATACGGAGGGAACGTGAATACGAAAAAAAAAATATTTCTGAAAAAACTAATCAGTTAATAACAAACAGTTGACAATTTACTTCATCTCTGACATCTAGTTATACAGACTATGTACATTTAAACCCAATTCTGCGAGGGTGAGGTTTACATATGCAGAATGGTTATCATCTCTGGGAGGATCGAATTCCTCTGCAATGGCTAACACATGCCTTGACTGAGGGAGATCTAAACGAGTATCTACAAAAGATACTTGTGGGTTTCTCATTACTTGTCGAGTACGCAAGGAGTAACGACATTCAGGTTGAGTATCTGACTGAGTATCTGAGGTAGAGGGTACAGAGTCAAGAGGATTTTCAGCATCTGTCATATTAGTCTGAGTAGCAATATCCTCAAACATCGCATACTAATTTCATATGATCTAAATGCGATTCTTTGTACTTACCAGTAACTAATTTCTCTTAACCTTATACTTATTACCAGAGATATGTTCTACTACCCGATAAGGTCCGACAAACTTTTGATCGAGCTTAGGCATTTCGGATGTTTGTTGAAATTTGTCAGCATTACTCTTGAACCTACTTTGACTTTTGATGGCTTAGCACGGCTATTAGTTACTCTAGTAAATTCTGCTGTTGATTTATGAAGTGTTTCACGGATTCTTCTAAAAACACTTTGAGCCATGCTGGTACGAGTTGCTACGAAATCATCAGGGTTGTAATTAGGTTTCGGAGTGGAATATAACAACTCATAGGGTAAACGCTTGTCTACACCATACAATGCATAATGTGGAGTATCACCTATGGAAACATTGTAAGCAGAATTTATGGCACACTGACATCTGGTATGACTTCATCCCAAGTTTCACTATTGGGGTTGATAGTGGCTCTCAGGACATCAAGTACCTTTTTATTGGTTCTTTCGGCTAACCCATTGCTAGCAGGATGATGAGGAACAATGGTGGATTTAGAGATCTTGTATAAAGTACACAAATTTTCAAGAATCTCATTACAGAATTCACCTCCATTATCTGTTACTAAGGATTTAGGGGTGGTATGCCTGCAGATAATGCGTTCTTTAAACGCTTTAGCTACTGTCTCTGCAGTCTTATCTGCAATAGGAACTAACTCACAATATCTGGTGAAATGGTCCCACCATAACACACAGATGTTTGTTGCCTTGGAGGGAACATTTAAAATTGGTTAACAAGTCAAGGGCAACTCTTTCCCACGGTTCGCTAGTGGTTGGTACACTTGGATTGGGTTAGGACCATTGACATTTCCTTTATGTTGCATACAGACACTACATTTCTTAACATACTCGGAAATGTCAGTTGCCATACGTGGCCAAAAGTATTTCATTCTGGCTTGTTTCACAGAACGATCCATACCAGGGTGTGCAACACCTGGTGCATCATGAACTAGCTGTAGAGCTACGTTCACTAGTGACTGTGGAATTACTAACATGGTAAACTCTTCTGCTTGGATACCCAACTCGGCTGTTCGATACAGTAATTCTTGGCTCATTACAAAGTCACTAATGGGTGCTGGTGGCTTCACGGTAAGAATAAGATCTTCCTGGAGCAGGAATCGAATCACACCAGACCACATGGGATCTGTTCTTTGGGCAGTTTTGACATCCTCGACAGTAAATGGAGGATCTGCAGTAACTACACTAACGTGTCGCGATAAAGCATCAGCGACTACATTCGACTTGCCAGGTAAATGTTCAAAAGTGGGATTGAACTCTTGGATAGTCAAGGTCCATCTGGCTAACCTTCCAGTAGGCTGTTTGTTCGGAATAAAGGTATCAGTTCTTTCTTACTGGAGGAATGAACAAACTCGGTGGAGTGGATGACTCCCCCGGTTGAAAAAAATTAACGCTATAACACGCAATATGAGCAAGGGAGAACGAATCTACTATCTCAAACTGCAAGCACAGGAGAAAATAAATGAACACGGTCAACAATGCTGATATTCAATCTGAGTCGCACACAGTGACACGAGGTATCAGCTATAAAGAAACTACACTTACAAACGTTAACAACGTGAAAGTTACTCGAGAAATAACTTCTTACAATGCACTGATTACTGTCAACTAGGATGGGATCACCATCTGGAACATTAGGAACAACAACAGACACTAGCTGTAACAGAGACGTCTTTCTGCAGACAGCATGTCACATCAAAAAGAGATGGCATTACTAGTTTCAAGTAATCATTTTCTGACAAGGCATCCCCTGTGGAGAAACTACTACTCGAACTAGCAGTCATTGCAGGGATAGGCTGTGCACTCAAGGCAGTCTGAGTGTCCCCGGACACTTGAGGCAACGGAACACTATCCTGCAAGTCTGAAGATGTAGGTGGAACACAGTTGGGAGTGACAGAATTACCAGTGCCTGACCGTTTGGGTACGCTACTGGAGAATGCATTGGCTTGTAAGGACTTAATGCGTACATCATACTCCGCAGCAGTATGACAGATTTCTGATCCAAGCTGGTAACCCCAGAATGGAACGATCGAGTCGTCAATTTGGGCACTGCGACTAGCCGGGGGATCGAACCCATGTCGTTTTGGCCCGCCTCATGGTTAGAGCGTCGTGGAATTTTCGCTCATCATGAGGCGGCTTAAAACAACATGGGTCCGATCCCCCAGCTAATCGCAGTGTTCTTATTGATTAAATACCACTCGTTACAAGTTACATGGAAAACTAAATATTGCAAACTGGACACAACAAATTTAGTCACAAATATATAATCACAAATCAGAGTGTCTACTTAATAATGTCTTGATCAGGAGTGGAAAACGAACATCATACTTTGCTTAACAACTTAAAAACTGTGAATAAAACACCGCAGTTTCCTGGTATTACAAGCATCTTTGTCACGATCATTACATGCATTTCTGACACATAATTTAGCATAATTTGTCTCGTCAAGTATGTGAATGAGAAAAATCTCGTAAAATGTTTTAGTAACTATTTTCACTTCCGGAAATTCCATTTGATTTAGACCAACTGAATTTATTAACACGATGCTGTACATAGACTGTCTCTCGCTAGGTAGTCTCAAAAATAATATGATATACTTGAGCAATTATTATATATAGCTGAGTAATAAATTACATGCAGAAGTAATAAAATAAGCACACTATAGTCGATAAATGTTTTGATAAATAAAAAATTGAAAAAGCTACATGGAAAAACATGGAACTTCAATTTTTTTTTTTAACTATCGTTCACTGCTCAATCTTCATCCAGACTGTGATAGGATGACACTTTAAAAAAAATCATGTGCGATATGATACATTAAATATAAGAGAACTTAAGACATGTCATGAATATCAAGGTCTGGTGACTAGGCTCTCACAAGCCTGGTATATAAGCTCTGCATCACACAGCTCATCATTGTATTGTCTTCCCACTTGAGTACACTAACATGGTAAGACTTGTCTTCATCTCTTTGTCTAGATCTAGTGAAGATCGGAGATGTATTAGACAGCAGTAATGCTCAACTGATGTGCATTATAAAGTGATCACAAAGACTTAGACTTCATTTTAGGAGAAATTTGATCTCAAGTATAGGATACCTTCATGCGCTACTCTTTTAGATAAGTAAGCTTTACGGAGTTAAAACTCGTGAGAGATGACCTGACGAGCGAGGAAAAGAAATCTGAGAGGGAAAGATGCAGTATGAAAGGGGAACATAATACATAGGAAAAGTGAAATACGTGGCTTGAGGTTGTTCGAATATGCGACAAAAGTTCACATGACAGAGAAAGAGAATTGAAAGACCTATTCACTGTTAACAGAATAGCATTCCTTATTCATGGTGGTAAGCATTATTTTATATTCCGTCAAATCCTTTATATATGAGCGGATACAATTTTTTTGCGTTGTTTTTCAGTTTTTCATCTTTTCCTTTCATTTATTTTGACCTGACGATGGATTCTAATCGATCTAAAAAGTTTTGTCAAACATTTTCCTATTTCTGGAGGGCTTCTGTTTATTTACATCTCACCAAATTGGCGAATTTGTTGACATGTAAACAGAATTACTATCCTTAATCTAGAACCTTTTATGGATAATCTACATGAAATAAGTATTAAGCAAAGCTATTTCCCCTTTGCTCATTGAGTATTGATTCATCCTGTATTCTTGCGTTATGCATGAGTTTTATGGTGACTGACCTCAGACTGAAGCTTTCGAGAAAAACATTGTGTAAAACATTACCTCTCTGTTTTTATCTTTTTCAGAAATTGTTGCTGCTTTCTCTGGGCGTGGCTTTCTTGACCGCGTCCAGCTTCGCCAGTCCTGGCGGTAGAGGCGGCGGTGGAGGGGGTGGGGGAGGGGGCGGTGGCGGCGGGGGCGGTGGTTATGGAGGCAGTGGTTTTGGTGGGGGTGGAGGGACGGGAGCAGTCACCTTCATCCTAGGTGGAGGTCGTGGAGGCGGGGGTGGAGGCGGCGGCTACGGAGGTAGTGGAGGAACCTCCAGCTTCACCCTCGGCGGTGGTGGAGGTCGTGGTGGGAGTTATAGCGGTGGCTCGTCAAGCAGTGGCTTTAACTTAGGGGGCCATGGAGGTGTTGGTGGTGGTGCCTTCTTTGGCGGAGGCGGTTCAGGCGGTGGTTTCGGAGGTGGTGGCGGAAGCTATGGAGGAGGCTCTGGTGGTGGCTTTGGAGGTGGTCGTGGTGGCGGAGGCGGCGGCGGCTATAGTGGTGGATCATCGAGCAGTGGTTTCAGCTTCGGAGGCCATGGAGGCCTTGGAGGGGGTGGCGGCACTTTGGAGGTAGTGGTAGCGGTGGCGGATATGGCGGCGGAGGAAGCTATGGCAAATAAAATGGAAATATTTTCAAATGGTATGATTCACGCCATTCTATGATTGTTAAGCAAACTGTATAATTATTTACGAAAGTATAATAGACAATATACTTAATAAAACAAAAACGAAATGCATAAGAATT